CAAGCTGTTTATTGTCATAGCTGCTCTCATATTACCTTTCTGCTTTATATTTTGTTTGTGAATCATGTATGGGCCACCTGCCATTAGAGTGTTTCTCTAGGTTTGTATTGCACCTGCCACATTTGGATTGAAACTCATGTCTGGGTTCCCAGACACTACATGTTATTTATAGTTTTACTTGAATGACTTGGGGGAAAAAGGTACCTCTCACTAAGTAAATAAGAGGATTATATTCAAATGCCCAGCAAAACAAAGTATAGAGACATTTTGGGGATGGGGAAAAGGAAGCGAAGTTTTCTTTCAACTTCAATTCATCAAAGTTTTGGTGCAAAATGTCATAAATTCCCCTTTCTCCTTTGGTGCTTCTAGTCAGGAGAAACTATTTGGCAGTTCTGTTGAGCTCTGTCTTAATTTAGCAAGCAGTATGGATGCTTTCTAAAAGAAACTCTTTAGATTCCCCTCTTTGTGTTATCTTTATCACCTAGTTAGTACTTAATGCTACTATTGACTTATTAATCACACTGGGATTTCACGATAAAAATGTTTCAGAACAAAAGGAAAAGGTGAGTGATGGAACCAGTATCTGGAGTTTGGTTTTGCTTCAAAAAAGTGTTTGAACTGCTAGTCACCTTGTAGGACCATCCCTACAGTTGAAGAAATTTAGAATGTTAGACATATTTTGCTTTACTTCTGCACATTTGTCAAAAAGTCAAGGTCTTTTTTTTTTAAAGCTCTGAAGAACTGGACAGGCCATGATGGAGCCTTTGCAGCACTAGGCTTTGCTCTGCAGCTCCTCACACGAAATTATTTCCCTTTCCAGGAGATCGCCTTGGAAATATTCTTCAAAAATGGTTACTCCAGATTTCTTGTCTTCCATGACAGTGACCGAAATAAGATATTTAAAAGGTAATGACTAGCTCACAGTAACATGGGTATGTTCCTGGTGATGCTTAGTATACCACTCTTTCATCCTGATGTCAGGTGTCTGTGTTTTGTTGCTGCAGGACCTTTGTTTTCCATTTTTCCCTTGAGTTTTAATGGGTTACACTTTAGCTGTGAAATTTTCCTTTTGCTGACCTGTGGAGTCTTTGGAACATTACACAGCCATTGACTTATCAAGGAATCTAATGTTCAGGACTTTTCTAGCACCCAGTGGTGTTGTGTGTCCCTTCATCCCAGGAAATTTTAACTGTAGCTGTTTTCCTTCCTCCCACTGAGATGAGAACCACCTTCACCTCACCTCACAGTACTGGGTGAAAGAAGATTTCTTCCAACCCTCATAGTATCACTAGATTCTTTAGGAATAACATATTTTTGTCTCTCCGACTTTATCTTTGTTAACTTTTAACAATGGCATTTTTTTAAAAGATTCTCCTTATCTGCTTGTCTTGTTTAATGAAACTTGAATGTAAGACTATGAAGTGATTAATTTGCACTTTGTTTTCTTGCATGTTATTATCTACTGCAGTTCTGGCCATTAGATCAGGATTGCATTCACTGGCCTCTACACAGGAAAATTCATTTCATTACTAGTGCTTCCTCTACTAAATTCTGCAGCCTGAACTGAGCATTGGTGCTGTCAATTTCTAAAGAATCACAGGAATTCCCTCTGCTCCTGAAATCTCTGAACAACTCCTATTTCAGTGTTGCATTAAAAAGTCAGTGCAGATTTATCTGTTCTTCTTTTCCAAGGAAGTGAGCATAGTGAGGCTACTTAGAATCACCAGGATCTGCCCCAGAGCCAGCCCTTATCTTTGCTGTCTTTGAATTCTGACAAGTATCTCTTGGGGGAATCTTTCAAAGGCAGTTCAAGACAAGGTTTTGATCCTCAGCTGTAGATCACAAAAACTGTATATTTCAAGGGTATAGTTTGTCTGATATCATAAACCCACAGCAAATGTAAATATGAATGGCTGAGATGAAGGTTGGTGGCTCTTTCTGCCATTTTTACTAAATAAATGTCTGAGTGGGTTCTTTTATCCAGCCCATAGCAACTCCTTAATATTAGATGCATCCTTTTGCCTGTTCTCTTATAGATTTATCCTAGGTTAGAGTCTCAGGGCAATGCTGTGGCTTCCTGAAGAAAGCTGTGAGGACAAAGCAGTTCTGTGGATATGTAATGTGTCCTAATTACCATTTGCATAACTGTAATGTGGCCTTTCATATCTCCTATAGATTCTGTTCTTTCCAACCTGCTTTGAAGTCAAAGGGGATAACAGAAGAATCCTTAAATATAAGGTAAAACATAGGAAACATTGGATAATTGTAATACATGCAATTATGTGAATAAATTGCACCTTTAAAAAGCATATAGAAACATACCTATTTGTATCCTCCCTTTTAAAGATTCAAAGGTGTTCCTAGGACTTCAAAAAGCATTCTAGCATACTTTATCACAGTATGAAGATGAGTGTCAAAAAGCTGACTGTGAATAGGTGATTAATAATTATCTCATTTGTATCACTTTATTGATAAACTCTGTGCAAAGGGTTACTGTGGGAAGAGACAGTGAGGTGAGGACAGAGCTAAACCATAATGCTTTTGCATAATAACCTCTTCATTGTGTGCTCAGGGCAGACAGTGATGTACATATGGATGCTTTGGCACCTTGTATTAGCTGTACAGTGGAGATTCTAACTTGTCCCTCAGATTTACTGTTGCAGGAAAAAAGTTTTCTCCTAGTGGGAGGTGCTTGAGAAAATGTTTCATGCATTCCATGAGTTAGAGTAACTTTTCTCAATTTAGGTATCTGGGGAGCACAGCTCTAAGTGCCTAACTGGTGTCCTCTGAAATGATTGCTGAGGCTGGAATTGTGTTGAGGCCTGAGGTGCACATTGCCCCTGAGTTGTTGCAGTTGTGTCAGCTATACCCATTTCAATTTTCAGTCTACCTGTTGCAGATCATTACCTATCTTGTAAATGAGCACTTTCAGCTCTGAGCTCCAGTCACCAACTGGCTAAAGTATCAGTGCAATGTGGAACCAGCTCCAGCTAGAGCCTGACCTAAACCGGAGGTGGTGGCTGGCTGTGGAGAGTGACACCTGCCCTGTGTAAACAGCAACTCGCTCTAGGATTTCCTTTTGCCCTGCTTGCTGGGAGATCAAGAGGTGTGAATGTCATGACAGAGGATGCATTAGAGCTTCAAGAAATTTGGGCATTAATTGACTGGTGGTTATTGGAAGAAACACTTGACTCATGGTTAATCTCAGAATCTGAGACAGGCTGCATGCCTGTGTAAAGTAGCCTGTCCTGAATTCCAGTAAGGCTCTGCCGGCAGGTTTTTTTCCACTGGCTGAGAGAAGCCCCTACAAAACTTATTCTCTCTGAGAATGTAAAGGGCCTTTGGCATAGCTTTGGTTGGACCATGTCAGGGCATGAACTGAAATAAAATAAATGTAACATTTATTATAATCACTGCCTAAGCAGCAAAGCCAGAAAAGTTGTGTTTAAAGTGGAAAGTTAGAGAAAATTACGTCAGTAGGTGTGCTTCCCTTTACCAATGAGAACTAATGGACTGAGGACTTGATGAGTTTACTCTTCCCTTGTTTGAATAGTGGAGCTGTTTCAGAGTTAGAAAATTTCAAAAGCAGCACTTGGGACTTCTTCCCCATCTAAGGGGACAATGGCAAACTTCCACATCTTTCCACCTTTTCATGCCATACCTGAGACAAGGAGGCAGGCCAGATTAAATTCTTTGCTCAGACACATTACTAATAATTGCACAGTTGAAGCATGGAAAGAAGAAATTACTAGTTTGATGCATCATATGACATTGAGGTAATAGAATTTCTGGGAAATCCCTTATCAGTTTATCCACCTAGTCCATAGGAAATAACAGGAGTTCCCAGGCTCTACTGTAGTCATTTAAAAAATAAAGTGCTCCTGGCACTTTATTCTTCATTCAAATATACTTAAATGTTTGCTGTCACCATAGGTTATTATGGCCACTGCCAGCCCTTCCATGTCATGCCTGAGTGCTTTTATATCTGCTCATTGCTTGTCCCTGTATATTGCTGTTTGCAGGATGTCAGCACTCTCTGCCCTATGGATGTGATTTCAGCAAGTGAATGTGTGTGCTCAGGTGCACATGTCCATATGTACATGTCAACAGGAAGCTAAAAGTTCTGTGGGGATACCAGACCTGACTTTGTCAATGCAGAAGCTGACTCTTGGATCATGGAAGACAGGGACTCTTCTCTTAATCACTTTAGTCACTGCTTAAGTGATAAGCCTGGAACCCTTAAAAAGATAAATATTTTTCCTACCCCTTCTACATCCTCCTTGGAGAGACTCAGAGGCCAGCCAAACACTATGAGTATGGATAGTCATGCTGATTTTTTTGGACAATTTGGTACAACTTGCTGCACCTAGGTATAGCACTCAAAATCCCAAAGAACTTGCAGAAATCTGGTCCCTTGATGGCAACAAGGATCACTAGTTGTCTATCTCTAAGCATTGTGTTTGTACTGCTTAGTTACTCCTGAGCATAACACTTGTGTTTGCTGCCTCTGCTGAACTGGAACAGGCTCACGTTTCCTACACTGACAGTGCCTGTTTGAGACTCTGAGAGCTTGGTGGCAGCCACCAGCAGCAGAAGGTTCCCAGGTCTTTTCCTTTTCCTCCAAATGTTCAACTATGTCTCAACCTGTGAAAATGAGCAGAAATAATCTTTGGGGCTTAGTGGTGGGAATGGATTTACTAGAAAAACATATTGTTTAAAAGATCCTTTCACTGGACACTGCACACACAAAAGACCCCAAAAAGCCCAAACATGGAGAACACGTTGCAGGGACTGGCCCAGATTTAAACAGCCTTTTCCAAATACACATCTGGTTTAGTTGCTCTGGTTTTCATTCTAGAGACCACAGAAGTCTGCTTATAAAATGAAGCTGATCTTTAAAGAAGCAGAACCGCAGGAAAATGGAGGAGGAGGAAAGTCAGTTTTTTATTTTCTTGGGCTGGACTTCATGCAACATGGTCTATAGCGTGCCTTGGTATATTTCAAGGATTGTCATCTTTCATTCTCCATTCTTCTTGGTTATCTATTGCAGTGGAATTGGGTGCAGTGAGTGAAGGGAAACTTGGCTTATCTGAGGGGCCGGGTGTCATGTCCTCTAACTTGTGCAGCTCGTCCCTCTCACCCTGACACGTCTGCAGACAGGAATTGCACAGGTCTTTCTTTTCTACTAAGTAAAGCGATTCTATGCGTTTAATGGTGTCAATTGGCTCTTCTTCCTTTGCAAATTCTGGTAAAGGGTTTCTTTTTACATTCAGTCTTTCAAGCTTGGGGAGCTTTTTCACACTCTTTGGAATGATGGTCAAGGAGTTGTCAAAGAGACCTAGCTCAATAAGTTCCTTCAGGGATCCAAGAGTGGTGGGAATAGTCTCAAGACAGTTTAAGCCAAGGTTGAGAGTACGCAGGTTCCTGAGAAGGGTCAACTCTTCTGGCAGACCTTTTGTGGTCAACTTATTGTTGCATAAATTCAGGTAAGTAAGGTTGCGAAGCGTGCCTATTGCTGCGGGCAGCTCGTCAATCTGATTACTATGCAGGTCCAGCCACATCAGATTCTGGAACTTCTCAATGATGTTTGGAATCTTTCTTAACATGTTTCTGCTCAGATCAATTTCCTCCACATCAGCCAGCTCCAGAAGGCACTTGGGGAAGACGGCAATGCCCATTTTGCTTAACTCAAGACGGCGCCTTCCATTAAAAAGTACCCGGAGTGAATTTTTGGCCACTTTCAAGGTTATCCTTTTCCCTTGTGGACCTTTTGCCTTGGGCATCTCTCTGCTGATAGACAGACACACCAGACTCTGTGGATAAAATGTGAGAACTCCGGTAAAGTCTTTGAAAGCCATGGCTGTTAATCACACAGTTATATGTTAATATTCCTGCTAGACTTTTCTGAAGTTGGTTTTCTTTGAGGTCAGAACTTTTCAACTGAAAATCTGCAACTCTGAAAATTCTTCCTCAAAGTATTTTCAGTAGGTGAAATTCTAATAATTTACAATATTATTTCATTGCAATGTAACATCTATATTACATTAGAGGGTGAAATTACAAGTGGGACACATTTGCTGTCTTTCATTCCTAAATACTGATTTGAGCTCAGGGTATCACAAAACTGAATGAAATATGTTATTATCCATCAGCCAGTTGAGGACTGGAGAAAAATATATTATGGGTCTCAACACAGTCCCTAGAAACTGCATTAAAAGAAGCTATTCAAATTTGTCTCATTCTACCAGATCAACAGTTGCCATCTTTACAGGCCTGGCATTTGCTAACAGGTTGATTAAATTTCTTGTGTAATGGACTTGAGATTTGGGCTCTGGATGTTATTGAAAGATTAAAAGTTTAAAGAAAATTATTAAGAATTTTGTTTTGACCAGGACTCAGGAACATGGTGAGCTCCCAGACTTGCCAGAATGATTGGCAATTCATACCTCACCTACAGGGCAAACTGCAGCAGGGACTGATGTCAGCACTGCTGAATGCCGTGTTAAACCAGGCCTTGCTAAGTGTCCTCCTCTGGATACTCTAATCTTGTTATTTTGTTCATGCTTTGGGATAGAGGGTCTCCCACTGCAAAGGTGTCCTGCCCTCAGAAAAATGCATATAGGTGTAGTAGACTTTTGACTCATACCGATTCTCAGAATGTGGTACGTGCTTCCTGGAATGAGCCCTGTAAGAGTATAGCCCACTTACTCTCAGGTTTGGTGAACTCTTTGTAATCAAAGGTCATCAAATACAGCTGCTAATTACAGCTAGTGGCAAAGGAAATAGGCTGATTCCCTGGAAATGGATGACAATGTCCCTCCCAGTAAGAGTTTAGAGAGCAGCACAGGTTACAGCTGAGTAATCTCAGGTCTGGGTGTTCTGGCATTTAATTTTGAAGAGTCAAATTGCAGCTTTGATGAATGATTGTTTAGGACAAAATATAGATTTGTCGACAATACATGTCCCTATTAGAAAGACTTCACTACAAACCCTTCAGGCTTTTTGGCTACTCATTAATCATGTTTGAATACATGAAGGGGAAGCTCAAGCTACAACTAAGGCATTTCAGCTTCTTTTCAATTACATGCCATAGCCCAAAATAATGCAAAAGCATTAACCCAGCTACCACCCACCCTCCCAAGAGCTCTGTAATGAGGCAGATGCTTCAGAAAATACTGGAAGCGGTGCAGTGGATTCAGTCTTGCCCTGAGGGTGAGTTCCAAAATAGGGTTTTTGTTGTTTTATATGAAAACATTTAAACACAGTTAAATGTTTCTGTGTGTCACTCCCATATTTCTGTCTCTCATGAGTACTTACAGAACCATATTACCAAGAACAGCATTACCAATGCTTTTCTATCTATATGTTGACTGGTAACTGAAGCAAAGTACTCTGCAGTGTGAACAAGTATTCCTTCCGCCTTTGTTGATGTTAGCATAAATAATTCCCCAAGAGCTCGTAGAAATTTCTGGACATCAAAAGAGCAGGATTTTCTAATCACAGGTCTCTCATTTTAAGGATTTTATGCAATATTCTTGTTGGCAATTCTGTGAAGGTAAAGTTGAGCAGTATGGGAAATGCCAGAGACCTGCTGGTGATACAGGACACCCTGAATCCTTTCTGGTGCACAGAAGTGGGTTGACTACCATGCTTCAGGAAAAGATCTATAGGGGAGCTTTCTTATGTGCTGGCAGAATGGAAAGAGACTTTCTGTTTCCTGTAATTGACATGAACCAGGTGACCTTTAGGTCCGATTTTTTGTTTGCTTGAATTTTGTGTTGGATGAGCTGACCAAGATATTCAGTGCTTTTTGATAAGTGAAGCTTTGCAAACAAGTGTGCCTTTAAAAAATGAACAGGATCCTCAAGGAAAAACATGTAATTTTTTTTCCTAATTTCAAATTTATCGTTTCTTTTAAAATGCTTTTAAAAAACATGTTTAAATCTCAGAAAACAATGCATTCCGTTATAATTTTTTGCTATTACTTTTCATTTAAAATCCAAGAGGAAAATATTGAGCCAAAATTTTTTCTTTTCCTATTTTACAAAATACCATCTAGGCAAAGAATCATTCAGTTGTGGCCCTGTTGTGGTACCTGGTTCCCGGTGCCGGGTCCCTCTGCGCTGTGCGTGCCCGGCAGCACTAGAGGGAGCCTGGCGTACAAGGTTGAGTGCTGCAGTTCAGCCTGCCTGCCTGGCTTTGAGTATTTCTCTGTCAATAACACTTTCCAAGCTGTTACAAAGTTTGAACCTGGATCTTTCAAGTTTTTACGAAGTCCAGACAAACAGATGAGTGTGATTTTCCTCAAGACAGATCTCTTTTTATGATGCACTGCACAATGCACTGCAGACTCCAAAGAGTTTCTTCCCACAGCCTACTTTAGCCAGATTTTTTTACATCCAACTGTGAACCTCTCAGATGGACTGATCAAGTCCCTAAGGAGTGCTCACTCTAAGTGCTATTTAGTTTGGGTTAAAAGTTGGAGCCATATTTCAAACTTAGAAAAAATATGATTTGCAATTCCAAAAATAGGGATTAGTACTAGAGGACTGCAGAAACATTTTAGTGTGCTTGAGAACTTGAAGAGGATGAATAGCTCTCCTACCTCTGCATGCTTGTAAACTAATTATCAGTGTTTTACAGGGCTGTAGCTGGAGATAATGGAGCCTACTTAGCCATGTCTCATTGTCTTTGGTTCTGTGTAAGAGGGCCCTAGTCCTGTAGCCACTGATATTAAAAATTCAGGAATCACAGGAGTTCTCCTTGCTTAAATGTTAATTATGCCTGTTCAATCTTACACTCACAGTGCATCTCCTGGAATGGCAGAAGGAAAGGTACATGTGCTGCCCTACACCTAAGAAATGATGATGAGACTTTCCACCTGTTTTCTCTAACAAGAGAAAACACCACCGCCGGGTTCACCCTCTGAGTTGTTGGCAAGCCTTTTCCTCGGGTGGAGGGTGCTGTATTTCTGTGACAAGGTCCACTAAAATGGATAGAAAACCCTTTCCCTTTCTAATCACACTTGTTAGAATCTTTGGCCTGGATGGGCTTTCGAATGCCCAGAGCTTTAGGAGTGTTTAACAGACCCAGAGTTTAGAGGTTGATCTGATAGAGAAATTAACAGAAAATGTGTGTCAAGGATGTCATGCTGTCTGTGGTGCTGTGTTGCTGGGAGCTGCAGGGATAGAACAGACCTGAGCATCAGTACTAAGAGTGTCAGTGTCTCTCTGAGGCAAGGAAAGATTGGGGATTATTTCTTATCTGCACTTAAGCACTTGCACAGGGGTCAGTCATGACCCATTGTATCTTAAGCCTGCCCTAAGAAGATCTGATCCTAAAAGACTGCATATTTGGACCCTGAACATCTCTTTTTCCTTTCCCAGCTCAAGTGGGAGCAGAACTGGCCTTCTGCCTGCAGCACTGCTTGGTGCTTCAGGACATCCTTCTCTCTGGTTCTGCCTGTTATTTTCTTCCGGTGTTGGTGCTCCCTAGTTCACCCAAAGCTGCAGAGAACCATCTTGAGCCCATCTTGAACTACTCTGTGAAAAGTTTCCTCTGTCTTTCCTCTTGGAATTCTGCATGCTACAGAGCAGGCCTGGCAAGCGCAGTGGAGCTCCGCATTCCCTGCACCTCTCTGTGGCAGGAAGGCTGTGAGGTGACGTGTGCTAATTCAGCCAGGGAAGAGGTGATAATACCATCTGTAGTGAAACACTTGCATGTAGAGCTTAAAACCAGCATTCATACAGCAAATGACTTTGCATGAAGCCAAACAGTTCTACTTCCCTGCTTACAAGCCTGTTACCATTTCTCATTGTTGGATATGATCTGTTGTGGAAGAGATTAATTCATTGACTGTCTTCATTGCAGTCTTAAACAGGCAGGTTTAGACTCAATTCTACCATGAGTACATAGTTTGAGAAAAGTTTCCTTTCTTAATATTCTTATTTTCCAGATGACTTCAGGGCCCCCATACTATCACACAGTGCAAAGTCACTTGCAAAACCAAGGCCCATCAAGAATAAGCAAAAGCATTGTTTCATCTTAACAATTCTGCCAGGCTGCCCCCTCCATATGATCTTACCGAAGTAGCCTGAAAGGCCCAGAAGGTGAGGTCAGATGTCACAAGCTGCTCGTTTTTTCTTAGTAGTGTGGGCTGTTACTGTGCAGTTGTCCCCTGTCTGCTCTTCTTTGAACGCTGAATTAGTCTTTCAGTCTGTAAATAAAGCCATGAGCATGAAACACAGGACAGTTTCCTTTCCACAGTCCTGTGAATTCAGAATGGTACTTCCTTGATGGAAAATGGCAGCTCTTCAAGCTTGTGTGAGCATGCCAGTGAGGAGTGGCTAAAGGGTTTCCCCAAGCCCAGGGTCCTGCTATTCAGCATTACTTCTGCAGCTTATGAAACTTGTGTTACCAAGCAACGGGAGTGCTACGCCCTTGGAGATCATTAGCATAATGGTTGGTTCCAGAAAGCAAGATTGAGCTGGATGGAAAAGAACTGAATGGCATGCAGTGCCTGGAAATGTTGTATTTCAAATTATGCTGAAAGAAAAAGCATCTGGAGCTCATCAGATGCTGTTAGTCAGCTTCTAACATTGCCTTAACTGTCCATTTTAGTCACTTGACTATTTCATTTTACTTGGCTGTAGCAGAGTGAGAGATACTTGTCTCTGTGTGTTAAAATGGATGGTGTTTGTGATATCATCCTTACCATGTGACAAATGGGATAGATGTAGACACAGGAGGGAAGGCTCATTCAATGGTGCAGCAGAGAACACACGAGCTGCAATTTATCTGTTCATATGTATCTCTCTGTCACATCTATCTGCAATATCTATCAGTGACCCTTCAAAAC